GAGAAAAAGAGCCCGTTCAGCTGGATCCAGCGCTGAGGACAGACTTGCCCAGGCCCCATGAACCCCAGGCCCCCAGACTGGGGAGGCGTCCTCTGTGCCACCTGCCGGCACCGCTTTCTCTGTCCCAGGAACTCCCGGCCCTGCTGCCCAGAGGGGGTGCCCCAGAGGCCAGGTGTGCGCGCTGGAGGCCTCCGCCACGCGCCAACCAGACAGGAGTAGACGTGCAGCTAATTAAAGTAGGCAGTAATCTAAAAGCAAGTATATTTATCACCAAAATGAGGTTTTATATTTCCACATCACATCTGGCATCAGACCTAATATCCCAGACTCCCTCTGAAGTCTCATCGGGAAGAAAGCCCTTCCAGAAGCCTGGGGTTCCTGCACCCCTCAGGCTCACTCCTCCCCGACCCCAGGCGACCTTCACCAGGGGGCAGGGGCTGCCAAGTTGGGTTTTCAGGGGCTTCCTCGAGACTGGGAAAGGAAACAAAGAGAGAGGAAACGAGGTGACAACTGCTCAGTAAGCAGAGCCAGGGCCCCAGGAGGCAGGGAGAGACCCTCAGGGAGCTGTGAACAACAGGGCGTCTGCAGCGTGAGGACATCTAAGGTCAAAAGGGGGGGAGAGGTGCTGGAAGCTCAAGCCAGGGGAGCTCCAGGTCCTCTTCATAAACTGGCAGAGATGGAGTAAAATCTGGGGTGCGGGGGGGGGGGGGCATGGAGGGGAGGGAGTGTGGGGGGGTGAGGAAATGAGAAGGTGAGGGGAGTGAGGTAAAGGCCCTAAGAAGCCGTATCTACTGAGGGCACAGGGCCAGCCCCGGGAGCACGGTCCCCACCCTGCTCAGCACCCCCCCTGCCCTGGGTTCAGAGGGACAGCGAGAGGAATGCCCGGAATGGCTCCAGCTGAGTAACACATCGGCAGAATTCCTCCAGGCCTGGTCACTGAGCAGACTGGCCACCCTCAGTCCCTCATCAGCAGAATCTGGAGGGGACAGAACTCCAGCCCTGAGCCCTCTAAACCCACCTGCCCCGCTGCCTGCCACGTGGGCCCCTCTTGCACCTGGTTCTCTGCTCCAAAGGGGCTGAGAAACATGGAGAAGAAATAGGAGACGCAACCCCAGACCCAAGACAAGCCCTGCAGGCACCTTGTGGGTTCCCCTAAGTCCACAGGGCTCAAGAGGGACAGGGGTTCCTACACCCCTTGGCACCCCTCAGGCTCATTTCTCCCCCACCCCACCCCCCACGAGAACAGCAGGATTCACACTCAAAGCCACTCAAGTTCACTGCCCAGGAAACAGCTACTATTCCTGCCACTGGTGCCACTAAAATTCTGTCAAGACAATGCACTCAGGGAAATAAAAAGCACTTCATTACAGAATTGGGGAGAGGTGGAGAGAGTTATTAAGACTTTTTTTTTTTATAGTTAAACACAATTCATCCCCATCAACCTAAGTGATTTTACTAGGCAGCAAAGTGTGGCTATTGATTAAGAATTTGACTTTTCTCTGGAATTCTGCCAAGGATATGAGATAAAGTTTTATTTCCTCGGCAGAGGAGTTCAGCGAATGACCTTAAAATAAGTATCAGATTGAGCTGATTTAGATTATGACAGCTTCAGACACATCTCCCACCAGTTAGTAACAAATCCCAAATTCACCAAAACGTTTGAAAGGTCCAAAAGGACCAGTGAAATCACACATTTTTAATAGACATTTGAAGAACATAGTTAAACCACCTGCTTCACTTTGGCCAAAACCGGTGGCTTCATTGAAATCTGGGTTAATCACTTACATGGTTAAACGGCCTTATTTACATCTGCACTTGAACCTTGGCGGGTGAAACTGCAAAAGGAAAAATACAATATCCCACGTCAATAAGTCAGTTGACAAGGTCTCAATGAGAAGCTGCTTCCAGAGACTGTTTCACAGCTCTCCTCTGATGTCTTGAAAGTGACTTATTGGATTATTTTTAGCTCTCTCCTGGCTTTCCTCTAGCCATGCCTCGCTGAGCCACCCAAAAAGAAACCAACATTCGCTCTCAAATTACATTTTCTTCAACTTCCCCTTTCAAAAGACTGAGGGCCACAGGACAGACTTCCAAAGACAGTCACCATTGCGGGGCTCGCGGAGACCGAGGCTGCCAGCCTTCTACCCCCACACGGAAGCGGCAGGAGGGCATGAGGCCCAAAAAGGAGAAGAGCTTCCCCGGACACTCCAGGGTACGCAGCAAGGAGCACTTTCTTCTGCCAAGCCCTCGGGAGAGCCAGGGCCCAAGGGAAGACATGCGAGAAATGCACACGTATAAATTAAAGCTTAATTTGATTGGATATAATTTGCAGTAAGACTTCAGGTGGAAATGAGGATCTGGGAAATTCTGCACACAGAGAACCCTTTGGGGCATTTAGAAAGGAAGAAGAAATCCGGTGAGATGGGTCGTGATGCTTCAAATAACCACAAATCTTTATTCTCTACACATTCACTTAATGCCAACCTAAAACATGCCAAGCAGGTTAAAAATAATGCGTTTATGTAAGCACCCCCCCCCCACACGCACGCACACACACACTCTCATGCAAGGTTAAATAGAGAGCTCTGAAAGAATGATTTATTGCCACAAGAATAGAGCCCCAAAATAGATTGGCAATAAAAGTGATTGGTCCCAGTGGGGCTGCGAATGAATGGAAGCAAAGGCCTGGCCGTGAGCCGCATGAGGGAAGAGCACAGAATGGGGGTCAGCTTCCAGCCTGGACCCCCCTCTCCGAAAAGCCTGCTTCCTCTCCTGTAACATAAAAAACATTTAAAAAAAAAAAGAAAGAAAGAAAGAAAGAAAGAAACTGGACTAGCATATGCCTGTGATGGCTTTTTTTCTTTTTTTTTTTGGTTTGAAATCTGCTTTATCTATTTTGGGAGCTAAGCTCCCTGCAAAGTAGGAAAGCGAAGTTTGAAATTCACGAACACTTGCAGAAGCCGCAGCTGCCCTTGCACTGCACAGGCACCAGGACTTGACCCACATAGTTCAGTCCGGTTTAACACTCGCCGCGCTGCCTGCCTGCAAGTGCCAGGTCTATAAAAGGACGGTCAGGATTGTCCAAGCGAATCAGGCCTTTCTGTGCCAAAGGCGTGAGTGGAGAATGAAACGACAGCAGAGGAGGTGGGACCCTGAGCGACGGGGCGCAGGGCTGGTGACGCAAGGGGAAGGGCTTTCACTGCCCTGAAGTCATCAGCCACCCACAGAAAAGGGGAGGCTGACATGCAGGTGCTGGGGACTCAGGCTGCGGGACTAGAGAGGACCACAGCCTCGGCACCCTCTCCCGGACCACCCCTGCCAGCCCTGGGAAGGGCCCTTCTCTGCCCTCGGCCGGGTGGCACTGACCTAGATGCCACAGCCGAGATCTAGGTCAGGGATTCAGACCTGCCCAGAGGAGGGAAAGGCATTTTGCAAAGATGCTCCGGATGACCCCTGGGAGGACAGGCGTCTCTGCCCACCCTGGCTCCCGTCTGCGCAGCCCTGGGGAAGGGGGGAGGCAGCAAGGCAGCGAGCCAGCGGCACTGCCAGGTCTGCCCCAAACTGGGCACCCACAGGGGCCGAACAGGAGCCGGTCACCGGGGCAGGCACAGGTCAGGCAAGGTCACCCACAGACTTATCTCCCCCAGATGCATCCTGGGGAGCCACACTGTCAGGGCGCGCCCTCCCCACCCCCCAACCCGATGTCTGCTGGGGCTCTTAGGAGCAGAAGAGGAGGCTTCTCCGCTGTGCCTGACAAAGGTGTGCCAAGGTCTGGTCTCACAAGCAGCAAACATCCATCTCGGGGGCGCAGGCGCGGCTGACAGAGAGGAGCCGACCCCGCACGGGATCCATTACCCTGCGGCGGCAGCAGACGGAGAAGCCAGGCTAGACTTTCGCTTCAGGGCGCGAGGGGAAGCCGTCCCGGTTCTGCTATTAGGAGGTCACCCGGGGCTGCTCACCGGGCCAGCGCGCGAAAAGGCTCGTCTGCAGGAGCCCACGCTGCCCAGGCCTCTGCGTCCGCAGGAGCCTCGCCCGAGAGGCGCGCCGGGAGCGCATCACCCCCGGCTGACACTGTGGTGCCGGCGATGTCACTCGCAGCCACAACCAATCTGTTCCGCTGACTCAGGCGCCAGCCTCCCCGGCGGGGCTCGGGCAGCGGGTGGAGACGGCTCGGGCGCCGGCACCGGCGCGGCTCCCTCGCCCCGCGGACGGCCGCCCCCCGCGCGCCCCGGCCCGGCGCCCCGGCTGACCTCGCCGGAATCGGGGGAGGGTGGGGATCCTCCGGGCGGCCGCGGAGCAGCGTGCGCCCCCGCCCCGGCGCGCGCCCCGCGGCGCTCCCGGCCCGGCCCGGCCCGGCCCGCACCTGGCCCGCCCTCCTCGGTCCTCCAGCGCCGGGTCTGCATCCTCCCGGCCCGCCGGGCCCCGCGCGCCGGGCAGCGCGCCCCGAGGCCGCGGGCGCCGCCGCCGCCCAGTCGCGCGAGCCCCGGGACGCGCGCGCGGGGCGCGGGGCGCGGGCCCGGCTCGCGCGGGATCTGGGCCGGGGCAGGAGGAGGCGCCGGCGCCGCGGGCCCGGGCCGCCCCGGCACGCCCCCCGCGCCTCCTCTCGCGCCGGCCTCCGCCTCCGCGCGCCGCCCCCGAGCCCGCAGCGCCGGCCGCCCGGGACAATGGCCGGGCCCGGGGCCGGGCGGCCGCTTCCCCGCCGCGCAGGGCGAGGCCGGAGGCGGCGGGGCCGCGGCCCGCGCGGGGCGATCGGCGGCGCGCGGGGCGCGCGCCCCGGCCGGCTCGGACCCCGGCCCCGGCCCCGCGCCGCCCTCCCCGCGCCCGGCGGCCTCCGCGCCCGAGACAAAGGCCGGCCCGGCGGAGCCCGGGGCGCAGCGGCGGAGCCCGGGGCGCGGGGCGCGGGGCCGGGGCGCGGGGCCGGGGCGCGGGGCCGGGGCGCGGGGCGCGGGCGGGGCGCGGCGGGGCGCCCGGGGGACCGCGCGCGCGCCGCGTCGACTCACCGGATCGGAAGAAGGCGGCGATGTCGGCCAGGTCCTTGGCCGCCTCCTCGGGGCCCTCGCCCGCGCCGCCCCCGCAGCCCGCGCCCCCCGCGCCGGCCGGGGCGGCGGGGCCGGAGGACGCGGCGGGGGCGGCGGGGCCGCCGCTGCCGCTCATGGCGCCCGGCTCGGGCCCCGCGCCCCTGGCGCCGCGCGCCCCCGCGCCGGGCCCGCCTGGCGGCGCCGAGGCCCCGGGGGACGCGGAGCCCCGGGGCGGCGGGCGGCGGCGCGGCCGGGGAGCCCCGCGCGGAGCGGGGCGCGCCCGGGAGCCCGACCGGCCGCGCGGGGCGCGGGGCGCGGGGCCACGGCCCGGCGGCGCGGCCGGGGCGCGCGGGGCGCGGGCGAGGCGAGGGCGGGGGCCGGCGCGGAGCTCCCGATCACGGGCGCCGGCGGCCGCCGCGAGCCTCCATCTTGCCTTCCCGGGCGGCGGGGCGGGGGCGGCGGGCGGCCGCGCGGGCGGAGCGGGCGGAGAAAGAGGGGCTTCGGGGCTTTCCGGCGAGCCTCGGCCGGGCCCGAGCGTGGGCTCGGCGGGGCGGGGCGGGGCGGGGAGGGGGCGGGGCGAGGGGCGGGGCTGCGGCGCGTCCCGCCCCCCGGCGCCCGCCGCCGCGGAGAGGCCGGGCCGGCCCGGAAGACCTCGCAGCCGCGCCCCGAGCCCCGCGCGCCCCGCGCCCCGCGCTGCTCCGTCTGCCGGGCGGCTGCCTGGACGGGGCTGCATACTAGGAGCTGAAGGAGCAGAGAGACCCCGCGAGCAGGTGATCTCCAGGTCTGAAGCCGGTGGGGGGAGTCGCTGAGCTCCTGGGGTCACCCCGCTTCCCAGCTGTGAAATCAGATCTGGGGCCTCACTGCAGCTGGAGGTCCAGGACGGGGACGGGGAGCCCAGAGCCCAAAGGACAGGCGGGTGGGGGACATCCTGCTTCGGCCGTCATGGGCAGGTGGCCAAGGGCGAGGCGCCAGGACAGGGCTGTGAGAGGGGGAAGCCCTGGGGGGCACCCCAGGGTGTCGGAGCTTAGAGGGGCCCAGGCTGCGAAAACAAGAAAACAGAAACCAGATCGGGTCGGTTGGTTTACTCACTGGAGGATGAAGCCCCTGGATGGCTGTGCTGGGGTGAAGAATTGCATGAACGAGTGGAGGAGACCAGGGTTTCCCCTGTCGGGGGGAAGGTCCAGATGTGGCCCGAAGATGCTAGAATGACCCGTGGGAGGCTAGATTGAATTTGAGGCCTCGCTGTGAACTCGTTTTTAGCGTCATATAGACACACATGAATATAAAAAAGATTTGCAGGTAGAGATGTTCCGGTGGGTAGCGTGTCTGCTCTCCTTGCTCTGTCAGCTGAGTGTGCTTAGAAAGACACCCCAGAAGCAGCAGGTGCACCTGGATGTGGGGCCGGTTTTTAGCATCACTCTGCATCAAGGGCCCGGGTCTCCTTGGGGAAGTGGCTCACTCTAGGATTGGGGCAAGAGATATACCTTTGCACCCAGGGCGTCTTGTCCCCGAAGGTAAGGAGGTGCTCCCCCTAAATGTTTTTTGATGAACACTACAACAAGGTGAGGGTTTGTCTAAAGGACACAGGAGACCATGGAAAGAGCCACCAGTGGCCCAAGCTGGAATAATTTGAACAACAAACTAAATAAAGCAATACTCCACTCAAAGCATGAAACAAATAGCCATTAGCTCATACTTCAGTGAATGATAAAAACAAACGATAAAATAATGTATTCATGGAAAAGAGATGAATCTCTGAAGCCGAATAATTCCGCATCACTTCTGTAGAGACTCCACCGTCAGGAAAATGGAAAAGAAATCCCCCCTCTCCTAGCTGTGGGCCCCACATAATGACTTTCTTCCACAGAGTGTGAAATGGAAAGAAGTTAATAATAATAATAATAATAATAATAATAATAATAATAAAACTTTACAATGGAGAAAGGACAAACTCTGCTTCAGCCAGGTGCTCAAGGCTGACAGTGATGGTGATAAATGACGGCATGCACCCTTGATGGGATATGATGAAAACAGCACCTTATCTCTAGGGTCTTCCTCCCCCAAACACATAAACCCAATCTCACAAGAAAAACATAAGAATAATCCCAATTGAGGGCTTCACTTCAGCCTCCCTGCCTTGCCAGTTTCATCAACAATAAGGAAAGTCGGGGCATCCCTGGTGGCACAGGGGTTAAAGTCTGAGCACTATCAAGCTATCACCAGTCACTGCAGCACGAGTTCAATCCCCAGCCAGGGCGCTAACCCACATGGCGCAGCAGACCTCTCCTGCCTCGCCCGCTGCTCCCCTCAGCAGTGTTCTTCAGTAGATCCTCCTGTTCTGCTCCCCACTCTGTCTCTGGTGAACCCTCTCACCCCACACCTCTGGCCTGCACCCCAGCTCTTGTATGCATACATAAATAAATGTTTTTTAAAAAATCACGCCCAAGAAGAGCCCAAGGAAACGAGACACTAATTGTAATGTAGTGCTCTTGATGATATCGTAAAACCCCCCAAAAGGACATCAAGTGAAGACTAAAGAAAATCTGAGCAATATCTGAACCTCACTTAATTTTTTATTTATTTATTTATTTATTTATTTATTTAGTCATACAAGCACTGGGTACAGTCAGAAGCGCGGGAGGGTGAGAGAATTCACCAGAGCCAGAGCAGGGAACAGAACAGGCAGACTGACTAAGCACACTGCTGAGGGGAGCAGCGGGCGGCAGGAGAGGTCTGCGCGCCATGTGGGACCCCCACAGGCGACCGGGGACTGAACCGGCGCTGCAGAGGCTGCGGGCAGCTTCGCAACCCAGCGCTCAACCGCTGCGCCACCGGGGAGGCCCTGAACCTCACTTCATTAATATCCATGTTCCAATACCAATTCACTCACGCTGAGTCAGGTGGGGAACCCGGGCGTGGGGAACTCACTGTACTGCCTCCACAACTTTTCTGTACATCTAAATCTGTTCCGAACTCAGTGTGTATTTTGAATGTTTTTTAAATGGCTTGTGCAGTTTTGCAAAGAGAAAAAACTGCCGCGGCTCCAAAGTTCACAGGTGCTCAGCTCAGGGATGCTCAGGTCAGCTCTGTTTCTTTGTCTTACTTTTCCCTCATTCCTTTTTTTTTTTTTTATAGAGGCATGTTTTATTTATTTATTTGTTTGTTTGTTTTGTTTATACATGCACTGGGTACAGTCAGATGCGCGGGAGGGTTCACCAGAGAATTCACCAGAGCCAGAGCGGGGAGCAGAGCAGGCAGAAGGACCGAAGGACACTGCTGAGGGGAGCAGCGGGCGGCAGGAGAGGTCTGCGCGCCATGTGGGACCCTCCTCCGGTGGCCGGGGAGCAGCCAGGGATCGAACCGGCGCTGCCTAGGCTGTGGGCAGCTTCACAACCCAGCGCTCAAGCGCTGCGCCACCGGGGAGGCCCTCCCTCATTCATTTCTAACTGCAGCTCCCACTCCCCGTCATGACGGAGAGCTTCAGCCTAGTTCAGGACTGATCTCTGGGGACTTGATTCATCACCCGAGCGCTTCCCCAATTCTGCCGTTTCCCCAAAGTCACAGCTGAGCTCTGAGGCCTTGGTGAAATCACACCATGGGGTGGGGGTACGGGAGGTTGCACCTGGTCCCTGGTCATGGCGGGATTGTGGGGGCACCAGTGCAGATGTGTGTCCCATGTCTGCCCCCTCCCTGGCCCTCCTGCCTGGACGTTGGGCTATGGCCTTGCTATCTCCTGCTATTGTGTCCTCTTCCTCCCAGGAGGGATCTTCTCCAGGTCTGCTGGCAGTCTCCACCCCTCCTGAGCTACTCACCGGGGTGCTCAGCCCCAGCCCTACATGCCCCCCTCCCATCCCAGAAAGCAAGATCCCATTTTGTCTGCTCCCGGGTCCCTCAAACCTCTCTGGACACAGACTCCTTTCTCAGAGTCCGGCATCGGGAGTCCCAAGCTCTCTACCTCCTCTCCTCCAAGTTGCAAAATTGCTGTTTCCTTTTGCAGGAAGAAAACCTTACTCGTTTCGCCATGCTTCCTTTGTTTGGGGCATAGCCTTTGTATTCTCTCGGAGAACCTGTTTTAATATTAAGAAAAGCTTTCCCTCTGATGCTTCTCTCTGTCATGGGCTCCAGAAACGTCTTTCGAGATTTAGAAGCCAAGCGCTGACGGCTTGCTTTCCCTCTGCCCTCCTCCAGCAGGCGCCCTGCCCTGTGACTCGCGGATCCAGCATCCCCTCTGCTGCCTGAATGGTGGAGAAAGGATCTGAAAAGACGAAAACTTTGGGGAGGGGTGGGGGACAGATTGGCTTTCATGCAGCCACAGGAAGACTGGCAGCACCTTAGGGTGGGACATGGGCACGGCTGGCTCATGTTGGAAGGTTCCCGGGTAGGAGCAAATCCAGAGTGTTGGGAGTTGGCCAGAAAGGAAATGTGACTGAGTGGAACACGATGGCTCCATCATTATCGGGCTAAGGTTGACTAGGGAATGATTGGTGTGCATCTGGGCAAAAAGAACCCTCTAAAATCGAGACCCAGGTAGTGACCAATGCTTCTCTCTCAAGTAGTCCATTCCAGGAAAGGGCTATGGATGCACTTGTGTCTGAGTGTGGACGTGCGTGAGACTCACCCAGATTGCAGAAGAGAAAGAGGCTGCACATGGGTTCTTTTCTTTCATCCATCTGAGCACGTGTAGGGGGATCTAAACAGGGTTTCACGACAGCTGCTGTTGATCCTACCCAACCTTCAAAATTCAGCTCAGATTTCATCCCCTTCACAAAGCTCCTACACAACCCACACCGATCTCTCCCTTCTCTGTCTCCTGCAGCATCCGTCACTCTGGTGCTGGATCATGTACTGCATTATATTATTATTCCCACTGGTGCTTAATGGCTTGCCCCCAAGGTGAGAGATCCTGTCCAATCAGTACACAAGCATCAGCATATCCCATTTGTGCCTAGAACGGTGCCGGACCCAAAAGAGTGAAGCAAAAGACATGGAGAAAGCCAGCTGGGCTAGACCCTGAAATCCACTCACCAGCCTTTCTCCCGCCTGCAGAACCCACGAGTGTGGCTGAACACCTCTCGGTTATGGCGGTCACGTGACAGGGTGTTCGGCCATGAGATTTACGCAGGAAGGACCGGCCAA